CAGAGTCCATCTGCAGCTTCCCCTGCAAACCGGAGAGAGGAAGAAGATGGTGAAGGGAGTCCCCTGCTGCTGGCACTGCGAGGTACCTGGAGCTGCCATCCTGCTGCCACTACTAGAACTTGGTTACAGGAAGTGAGGCAAAAGGAATGAAACATGTGTCCCACCTGCCTGCAGCTCTGTGACGGGTACCAGTACCAGTTGGACGAGTTCACCTGTGAAATGTGTCCAACGGACATGCGGCCTGTCCCCAACCGGACGGCCTGCTGTCCCACGCCCATCATCAAGCTGGAGTGGAACTCTCCCTGGGCCCTAGTGCCCGCCTCTCTCGCCATGCTAGGCATCCTAGCAACCAGCGCCGTGGTGGTAACCTTCATTCGCTTTAATGACACCCCTATCGTCAGGGCATCCGGAAGAGAGCTGAGCTACGTCCTGCTGACCGGTGAGCTCGCTGATCGGTCGCTCCAAGATTTCACAATTACTTTTGTGAATTTTGCAGTCAAATTGACAGATTTTCTTGTGATACTTTAGGAAAATATTTTGAGATATTTTCACTCATGTATGACATTAAGAATGACTATAGCTGGACATCAAATCAGGTCTTCGGCAGTAGAGGAGAACAAGTAAGAAATACTGCCACCTGCAGATGGGAGTTAGTATCATCACAACCCAATATTTTTGTGAGATTTTGAATTTGTCCTGTCGCTGTGAAAAACTGGAGACTGACTAAACCACATGGTGCTGTGTGACATCGTCAGTATGGATGACATCATTAGTCTTATGGATGACATCATTAGTCTTATGGATGACATCATTGAGAATGATGTCATCAGCAGTTGATGACCTCACCTTTCTCCATCCAGGTATCTTTCTGATTTACCTGATCACCTTCCTGATGATCGCGGAGCCAGGTGTGGTGGTGTGTGCATTTCGGCGCCTCCTGCTGGGCCTCGGCATGGCTATCACCTACTCCGCCATGTTAACCAAAACCAACCGCATTTACAGGATCTTTGAACAGGGCAAGAAGTCGGTGACTCCTCCCAAATTCATAAGCCCCACCTCCCAGCTCGCCATCACCTTCATCCTCATTTCTGTCCAGGTAAGTGGACGCAGGTCATGTGACCCGCAGGTACCTTGTGTGATGCCTGGGTGTCTCTCAGGTTCTGGGCGTGTTCGTGTGGTTCGCTGTGGTTCCTCCTCACACCATCATTGACTACGAGGAGCTCCGCCCACCAAACCCAGACCTGGCCCGAGGCATCCTCAAGTGTGACATGTCAGACCTGTCCATCATCTGCTGCCTGAGCTACAGCATCGTTCTCATGGTAAAAAAAATACTTCCCCTCAGCATGATGGTTCCACCAGCGTGCTGTACAGTGCTAAGCCATGGGCTTTTCCTTCAAAGCCAGAACAAACACCAGAACCGGACTGTAATTCTCAGTTACATCTGTGACATCTGTTGGACGTTACAGATGTAACGTGACGTCCCACCAAACAGAAATATTCTTACAAACAGAATATTTCTGTTTGTAAGAATCTGCATTGCATCGTCTGTTGCTAGGTAACATGTACGGTTTACGCCGTGAAGAGTCGAGGCGTTCCAGAGACATTCAACGAAGCGAAGCCCATCGGCTTCACTATGTACACCACCTGCATCGTCTGGCTGGCCTTTGTCCCCATCTTCTTTGGCACCGCTCAGTCCACTGAGAAGGTAAGAACCGGACCAGGCTTCAAGTGAGTTAGTTAGATCTGGCCAGAACCAGATGTAACCCAGAGGAACTGGGAAGAACCACAGAGTTCAATCAGAGGAACCAACTCTGTTCCTTTAAACAGACTGCAGGTCTGTATTTGTTCTGGTTCAGTTCTGGTTCCTGCAGCTTCTCCAGAATCTTCTGGTTAGTGTTCTCCAGAACAACAAACAGAACCGGAGTAGAGGTGAGCGGATGAGAGGAACTTGGCTCCATCCTGTCACTGCAGACAGAAACCAGGAGGAGGATGGAGTGTTTGGGTTGGCGGCGCTGGGGGAGGGACAGGTCCGTTATGCTTCAGATAAACCGTGCAGACACTTTCAGGTTGGATTATACAGATTAGAACAGACAAGTAACGAGGCCCAAACGCCCCAACAAAAGAGACAAAAAGACCAAAATATCAGGGCCGGGGAAAGAGGCTTTCAGAACTGCTGAGCCGACAAAATAAAAGCTTCTCTGCAGGATTAAAGATGGAGGCTGCAGCAGAACATAACAGACTCTCCAGGATGTTTCGCAGCTGCTTGGAAAGTTTCAAAGAGAATAATTCATGAAAACATGAATGAGAGGAGTTGCAAACAACAACAGGTCACACGCCGGTTCTTCTTCTGTGGTTCTCTGATAACAGCCGGACCTCCTCCTCTCTCTCGGTTCTGGGTGCTTCATGAAGGAGGATTTAAGAGAAGCTTTTTATCTGAGAACAACAGAACCAACGGGAGCTGGGAGAGGATTACTGCTGCAGGAGCTTTTAGCTTCACACACACATTCCTAACTAATTTACTCCTGTGGACTCTAATTGACTCCCTTTAGTTTCTGTAGCCTAACTTTGACCTTTTCCCCAACCTCCTCAAGTTTATACCTAACCCTAACCTGCAAATAATCTTTTTTTTCCCAGAATGTATTTATGCTTTAACATGAGGTACAAGGTGAAGGTGTTATTGTAGTCAGATAGTTAACAGTGTACCCCACAAATGATCTTTTTATATTGTGTGGCAAAATGTCCCCACAGCTACAAATGTCCTCATAATGCTGGGGGTTAGTCAAGAACCCCACAACTATGGCTAAACATCTACACGCACTCACACACACACACACACACTCACACACACACACACACACACACACACACACACACACACACACACACACACACACACACATGCTCACGATATATATAAAATATTAATGAACCAGTGGGAAGATTCAAGTTAATTGCTTGCAACATCTCGCATTGGTTTGTAATTAATTAATTGTATTTTGTCAACAAAGTAAGTAACACTTTCAATTCAAGACTCTTTTTGTTGCGAAATTATTGAATAAATTAAGATCTGATCTCAACAACAGAAATATTGTATTTTTTAATCTGTTCTTAAACCATCAGATTGGAGCAAAGTTTTTCAGGAAGCCCTGATCATTCAGATGTTAGCTGCTACATGTTTAGCATTGAGATGCTATTTGAGGCCTGAATAGCTTTGATGTTAAGGAAACTCCATTTAGCACAATGTGAACTGAAAAAATAATTGTTTTCTGGTGTCCCGTCAGATCATTCAGAACCAGAAATTAACACCCAGTTGACAGAAAGAAGCAGCTTCATCGCTGCTGCTAGCAGATGTGCGTCAGATTTACGGTTGTATCAGAAACAAGTGAATACAAAGGTTCCACAGAGAACTTTTCTCCTGGATATTTGTTGATGGTTTCTTTGTTTCTCAAGGAGTTCTGCAGACATGAAGGTGGTTCTGTTAAGTTCGGGTCTCTGTCTCCTCAGATGTTCATCCAGACTGCCACCCTGACAGTCTCCATGTCCCTCAGTGCTTCTGTCTCTCTGGGGATGCTGTACATGCCCAAAGTTTATGTCATCATCTTCCACCCGGAGCAGAATGTCCAGAAGAGGAAGAGGAGCTTTAAGGTGAGAACCCAGGTGTTCTTCTCAGGTGGTTGTTGCTGTGGTTCCCCGTTGCTCTAACCGTCATGTTGCAATGCAGGCAGTTGTCCAGGCGGCCACACTGTCCCAGAAGACGGACAAACCGAACGGAGACACCAAGATCGAACCTGACAGAACTCAGTAGCTCCACCTGCTGGAGGCAAGGAACGTTTCAGCATTTCTAGTGATGAAGAACAAAACCTTGATTTGATGCTTGAACTCATCCTGACCCCGATAGATGACCCCTGCCCAGAGTCACCCAATGATGAGGATGAGGATGATGAGGAGGAGGATGATGAATCATGTTTTCTTTCCTTCTCAGGTACCAGCCAACCAGAGCAGAGCCTGATGACATCATCACCACCATTATCATGAAGATGCTGAGCTTTTATTGTGAAAACCAGACTTTAGGTCAGACAGGAAGTGGAGACATGTTGTGTTCAGGGGACAGTGTGGAGCTCAGTAATGTTGCCATGGCAACATTAAACATGGAGACATTATTCTGCCTGGTGGGGGTCTGTGACATCACTGACAACACCTGAGCACTTCCTGTCAGAATCTGACTTTCACAATAAAAGTGTTACACTAGCTGTTTCTTAAGAAATGGGTGGACTGGAGGAGGGTTTACCTGAGGAGCTCACCTGTTGCTTCAGCCTGTCCCATGTAATAGGGTTCTGGTTCTGATCATCTCAGTGAAACAGAACCCTGGTCCACAGATTCAGAACCTTTAACTTAATGTGAATCTCTTTGTGAATAAATCATTTAATTTCAAATGTTCTGGTTTCAGTATTTGGGTCTCGGTGAGGTGGACAGAACCTGTTCAGGTGGCTCTGGTTCTGTTGGCAGACCAGAACCAGGTTCACAGATGAAGCAGCGACTTTGAGTTCATGTTTGAGTTTTATGGTTTGTCATTTATAAAGTTATAGAGTCAAAAATTACCAGCAACAATTTGTCTTGTTTAGCCTGTCATAAGAGAAACCAATGGGAGTTTGTTGTAGTCATACTTCCACCATGACTATTATTATTCATTCGTCTATAAATGTCACATTTCCCATATAAACATTTATGAACCATGTTAAATATTTAGCTCCATAAATATTATTTAGCCAAATAAATATTTAGCTTCAGATATATTTATCTGAGCTCATTGTTCGGTTAACTCTGAGCTACCTAAATATTTAGGTTATTAAATAAACGTTTAACTTTGACTTTCTAAGTCGCAGATTCTAAAAAACAAATTCTGATGAATGTGGAACATTATTTTATCTGCATTTGCTGCTAACTGGGTTCAATGAAAGGATGCGGGCTGTTGTCGGTCCTCCTCACCGGCTGGTGGCGGTATGCACCACCTTGTTCACCAGCCGACTTCAAAATCAAGAAGAAGAAGGTCCAAGATGGCGGCCTCCGCAGCGTCGCGTGAACTCTTCACGGAGGGAGTTCGGGCGGTTCTTCAGACGTGGCCGGTTATACAGGTGAGCTCCGAACCGGGTCAACTGCCGGGTTCGGAACCAGGTCTTAGGGGACGTGGGGATAATCAGTTGGTTCCACTAGAACACGTGATCAAACCATGTAGTTAATGCTAGCAGCTCCTGCTTGGGAGGTTCCGTCTCATCCAGACCGGTCCAGTTCAGCTCTACTGGACTTTAGACGGATTTGGAGCTCAAGATCCAGTTATGATCCACCTTCTGGTTCTGGTACTGCTCAGCGCTGACCCAGTGGGTTCATTATCTGTCAGTAACGGGTTCGGGCTGACATTGGACCTTTTGAAAATGCATCACTCAAACGTTCCGGACCCATCAGAACCGAACCTTCTCCCCGTCAGAACCACCCTGACCCATCAGAACCGCGGCCAGCGGATGATTTATATTAAAAAGTTAATATTTTCCTCCAGCTCAGTCTAGAAGTGGTCCGGTTCTGACCCGGTTCCGGATGTGTCCTCTTGTCCCTCAGATCGCAGTGGACAACGGCTTTGGAGGCGTTTACGGCCAGCAGAAAGCTGATTGGATGGTGGATGTCGTTCAGCAGTATTTCCATGACAACGGTACGTCTCCACGGTAACAGCTAAGAACGTTTTAATGTTCTGACAGAACCTCACTTCCTGTCTGACGTCACAGTTCAGTAGCCTGACGTGTGTGTGTGTGTGTGTCGGTGGAGGGCAGCTGACCTGCAGCAGTATGAGGTGGAGGATTTTCTGTCTCAGCTGATGGATCAGGAGTTTGATACGGTGGTGGAGGATGGCAGCTTACCTCAGGTACACACACACACACTGACACACTCACACTGACACACACACACTGACACACACACACACACACACACACACACACACACACACACTGACACACACACACACACACTGACACACACACACACACACACACACACACACTGACACACACACACACACACACACTGACACACACACACACACACACTGACACACACCGACACACACACACTGACACACACACACACACCGACACACACACACACACACACACACACACACACACACACACACCGACACACACACACTGACACACACACACACACCGACACACACACACACTGACACACACACACACACCGACACACACACACACACACACACACACACACACACACACTGACACACACACACACACCGACACACACACACACACCGACACACACACACACACACACACTGACACACACACACACACCGACACACACACACACACACACACTGACACACACACACACACCGACACACACACACACACACCGACACACACACACTGACACACACACACACACCGACACACACACACACACACACACACACACCGACACACTCACACTCACCGACACACACACACACACACACCGACACACACACACACACACACACACACACACACTGACACACACACACACACTGACACACACACACACACACACTGACACACACACACACCGACACTCACACACACCGACACACACTCACACACACCGACACACACACACACCGACACACACTCACACACACACCGACACACACACACACACACTGACACACACACACACACACACTGACACACACACACACCGACACTCACACACACCGACACACACTCACACACACACCGACACACACACACACACACGACACACACACTCACACACACACACACACTGACACACACACACACACCGACACACACACACCGACACACACACACTCACACACACACACACACACACACCGACACACAAACACACAACTATGAGCTGTGGCTCTGTCTCCTGATTGGCTGCTACCTGACCAGGTGTGTCTGCAGGTGTCGCAGCGTCTGCTGCAGCTGTTCTCCCTCCGGGAGCAGGGGGCGCTGCAGCAGCTCCGGAGCACCATCCACACACTGACTCAGAGCAAAGCGCCAAGGGCAAAGGTCACGGCTCCGGCTACGCAGTCAGATGACGAGGAGAGCAACAGCGAAACGCAGGTACGCCACGGGACTGGTTGCTAGGCAACACAGCCATAAAGTTGTCCTAACAAATTATTAGAACTTCCTGTTGGTCCATTAATAACCTGTATGTGTGTGTGTATGTGTGTGCGCAGGGCATGGAGTGTGAGGAGTCCTGCCCGTCCCTCAGCACCATACGTCCTCCTCCTCAGGACGAAGAGGACGGCTGGACCATGGTCCGGAGGAAGAAGTGACGAGCAGAACCAGAACTTTACAAACCAGACTTTAACTGGACTCCACCGTGGAGCCGCCATTTAAGGGCGGAGCCTCCATGAAGGCGCTGCAAAGTCCAGATGATCCGGTTCTGATGGACTAGTTGGAAAACTGTCTTCGTTTATTTAGAACATTAAAATGGGTCAAATTAAACAGAACCAATCAATTTTAAAATATTAGTCCATTAAAATTCTTCTCATATGTTCTGGTTCTCTGGTCCAGCAGAACCAGAACCAGGTGGAAACTTTGAGGATGACGGATCCGATCTGATCCAGAACCACATGCTAGCATATCAGACTGGACCCGGACTGTCTGGTTCTGTGCTGCTTTAGGTCAAATTCTGACTGGTTCTGGATGTTTCAGTTCTTTGAAGTTAAAAATATTTTGATATTTTTATTATTAATAATGCCACCTGGGATTAGCTAATGCTGGTTAGCATCCTGATTAGCATTAGCTAATGCACCTTCAGCTGCTAATCAACATTAGCTGCGATTAACAGCTAATGATGCTAATTAGCTGCTGAAGCTGTTCTGCAATATTTTCACTAAAATCATGAAGTCGTTTTTAATGGACTTGTTTAAAATAAGTGCTTTTATTCTGAAAGTTGAGGTGTGACATCATCTCTGCTCATGAATAATTAGTTATCACTGCTGGATGTTGTGTTGAGGTTTAACCCCTGCAGTTCGTATTCAGAGCTGAATTTAAATAAAGTTACGAAAACATCATGAAGCTCTGGGCTTTATTCCCATCAGATTATCACAGAACTGGATCAGAACCAGGAAGTTTTCAGGTTTGAAGTTAAATCTGACATGGAAATAAGGTTCCCAGCAGAACATGAGGAAGTGGAATTCTCATTTATTATTTAGGGATTAATATGTGAGAAGGAGAATCTGAGATTATAATCTGGGTTTACTGGGAGCCAAATGAAGGGAGAAACATGACCTGTGTTTGATCAGGACTCTGCGTTTTCTGGATGTCCTGATGGTAAATAAAACAGTGAGAAAGGACAACTTCCAAATACAACACAGTTTTTACTATTTACATTTTATAAGCAAATACTGGAAATTAATGACACCCTTTTCAATACTCAAAGAAAAAAAGTTTTCCCAGTTTCTTACTGGCATTAAAGCAGAAAAGTTTTCTTGAAACTGTTGAGCAGTTTTAATATTTCTGCTTTAAGGTTGGATGGTCTCCTTACCATCACCTAATCTTCAACTGTGATACTTCATATAGGACCAGTTCATAATGAACATTTTCTGAAAAATTTTTACAAGAAAAGTCCAAATAATGGAAGAACAATAATCAGTGCATCGAGTTTATTATCCAAATTAATTTAGTTTCTATGGGAACGCAGCAACGCTTCGAGTTGTTGACCTGCAGCATTTTCCTCCTGACTGAGCTTTGATCAGTGATCGATTGGTCCTGTCTGGTCAGTTTGACTCTTAAAGGGACATGTTGTCCAGGAATGTAGCACCATTTTGTATAATGATCAGTAACAATGTTACCTTCTATTATATGACTTAAAATGTTCAGTCATATATCAAATATGACTTTGCTTCCTGTTTTAACACCTTGAAATTGGGTGTTGAAATCTCTTTAAGATCTGCTTTTTCTGAAGCTCCGCCTCCAGGAAGTCCTCCAACATAGCACCTCTTTAACCCTTTAATGTTTTCAGCAGCGTTGCTCTGAGCAGCAGCTCCTAAAGAGCTCAGCAGATGTTTGCCAATTGTTGCTGGCTAGTCTGAAGGAGCTGCACCTCGAAGGCGGGGCTAGGTCCACCCAGGCATTTGTCAAACATGAATGAATCAGAACAAAACTGCAGGGAAAAACATGGCAGAGGATGTGATGCTGCTCAAACCGACAGCAGAGAAAAACATTTCTTTTATTATTATCATTATTGTTATTATTATTACTGTTTTTATTATCAAAAACATAATTTCACAACCAGCGATGCTGATAAGAAAAGGTTTAATTAAAGCACAGAAACATGTTAAATTACAACCAAATGAACCGATCCGCTGCAGGTTTCCCTCCAGAACCCAGAGAACCGAGCGGTTCGACACCACCAGGTCCAAATGGTTCCGATTCAGCCCCAGTAAACCCAGAACTGAGCCGGCTTTTATTCTGAAACCAGAGAACACCTGACCAGGTGAGATTCACACAAAAAAACAGGTAGAAAAACCCCCCTGACATCATCAGTGATGTCACTGCAGGGGGCGGGGCTGTTTCAAGGCACTAAGGTCATCAGAACAAGTGAACAGGTGGAAGCTCGTTATCTACTGATCAATAATCAATAAGCAGGAAGTGACAGATCAATAAAAACAATTAAAATTAAGAAAATGAGAGAAAAACAGATTTTAGTTGATCTGTGGAAGTTCAGCACCAGAAACTCACACAGGTTGATCGACTGACGGCCGATCAGGTGATCGCCAGAAGAATAGTCAATCGATCGGTCAATGATGAAGCAACAGATGAGCTGCTGGCTTCATAAATTAGATCGACTCAAAAAACTGATCAGAAATCAAAACTGAGTATGAAAGGAAGACAGGAAGTCAGGTGGAAAAACAGGAAGTGGACAGGAAGTCTAACAGGAAGTGAGGTACAGCAGCACTGAAGTGATTTCTGGAGTCAGCTCTGACCGTTCACCTGTCCAGGTGATCAGCAGCTGTCAATCTGAGACCAAACATCTGGATGGTTTCACCTGGCCAGGTCAAAGGTCGTGTCTGAGCATCGACTAGCCGGACCTCAGCTCAGTTCAGACAGGTGAGGCTTCCTCAGGTGTGACTGGCAGTCAGCTTTAGAGGGGAGGCGGGGCTAAACGTTCATCGGCCCACCCACTGACCAGTCGGCCAATCAGCAGAGGCGTCTCCAACCACACGGGTCAGCGAGTCACAGTGAGACAGCTGTGTGTGCAGGTGTGTGTTATGTGTGCAGCCAGGCGTGCTGCAGGCACTGCGCCGCCGTGGCGCGGCGCTCCGGCTCCATCTCCAGCATGGTGAGCAGGAAGTCGCTGAACTGCGCCGCCTGGTCCAGCGGCCACTCGTACTTCTCCAGCAGAACCTCGAACAGACCCCACGGCTTCAGGTTGGAGATATGCCGCAACTCACCTGGACAGGTACGTCGAGAGAAACAGCCAGTCAGAGAGCCATTCAGGAGCCAATCAGAGAGCCCGGTGGGACCTGTGGGCGGGTCTCACCTCTCCTGGTGAAGTATTCCCTGGAATACCTGCCAGACAAGGCGAAGGGCAGCGGCAGCGGACCCAGCAGCTCCATGATGTGGGCGATATGATCTGCAGACAGGTCACACAACTAAACACACTGAGGAAGTACAGAACCAGAACCCAACCAGAACCCGCCTCGGTACTGCTGCTTTACCTTCGTCTCTGGTGTAATCTTCTCCTGAATGCGGCTCGAACAGGTAATCCCCGGTTGCGAGTTCGAACGCCTGGAGAAGGAAAACAGGTCAGACCTGGTTCTGGACCCAGTTCTGGACCCGGTTCTGGACCCAGTTAATGATTTGTGCCTTTTTGGGAAGGTTAGCCAGGATTTGCCACTGAAATGTAACATCAGAACCTCTGAAATGTTTGGAACTGATCATTCCCCTAGTTTACCAGCAGGGGGAGCCTTTTTATGTGAAACCTGCAATATTCTGAGGAGTTTACAGAAATCCAACAGAAAGTTTCTGAAAGTTATTGATCGTGTGTGTGTCTGTGTGTGTGTGTCTGTGTGTGTGTGTGTCTGTGTGTGTCTGTGTGTGTGTGTGTGTCTGTGTGTGTGTGTGTCTGTGTGTGTGTGTGTGTGTCTGTGTGTGTGTGTGTCTGTGTGTGTGTGTGTGTGCGTGCACCATGCAGGCGGTGCTCCAGATGTCTGCTGGTGGCCCGTACTCCGCTCCGATCAGAACCTCCAGGGCCCGGTACTGCCTGGTCTGGATGTCCTCGGTGAAGTGTTTGTGCTGCTCGGACACAGTGAGGGAGAGAAGGAGGCGTCTGATTGGTCGGAGCTGCACAGGAGGATGAGGAGAGGATGAAGATGTCTCACCACCCAGCAGGCGTTCCCCAGGTCGGCGATCTTCACTCGGAGGCGGTCGGCGTTCTGCGGGTCCAGAGGGTTCAGGACGAAGTCCGACGAACTGAATCCTGCCGACAAGAGAACAACTTCACTGGGATTGGTCACAAACTCAGCCAATCACCTGCTGGTGAGTCAGCATCATTACACCGTCTGATGCCGACACCGACCAACCAAACAGGCAGAAAACGATCCAATCGATGCGATCAATCGGATCGATGCGATCGATGCGATCGATCCGATCGATGTTCTGCTTCAGACTCCAAAAGACGAACAGAGAGACAACAGAAAACGTAACTTTCATTTATCAACGTTTATTTCACCAGAAAATCCTTTTGAGATTAAAAATCAACTACAAGAAAATCCTGGCCGGGATATTTTTTCACATTTCAAGAATAAACTAAATAACTTTATGAGTATAAAATATTAGAGAAAAAGTTGTACGACAATAAAATGACATAAGAACAGTCATAGTGTAATAAAAATAAAGTTACACTATAAAGTCTAAATATTACAGAAGAAAGAAACAGAATCCTCCATAAAAATGATCAAAACAATTAATTTGACAAACCGAATTAAAGCAACTTGTTCTAATTCTCTGACTTTCTTCTGTTAATATCAGAACTTTATTCTCAATAAAAAATCTTAATGTGGCTCCAAACGATCTGCAGGACATTAACGTCCAACAGAAAGTCTCACCGTCTCGTCCGCTGGAGCATCCCGACTGGGTGGAGAGCGCCGACTCAGAGGTCGCCGACATCACCGAGCTGGAGAGCCCTGATAGGCCGGAGGCGGGGCTGGAGAAGCGTCCGGGGGCGGGGTCACTGAACCTGTCGTCCAACCAGGAGCTGCTGGACTCTGGGCTTGGCTTGTGATTGGCTGTGGAGCAGAAAGTGTTGCCGTTGACGACCACAGACCCTGAGAATGAAGAAACATTTCTGCTGTGTTTTAGTTTAACGAGAGAACATTCATGTTTCCACGCATCGCAGCAGGAAGGAGGAGAGTCGCCAACAAGACAACGCAACAATTCACTGGAGATTCAGGGAACTGACAAAATCTGATAGATCTGCTAGTAAAAACGTTCACAGATCTTCTCCGTCCGTCTTCATACTCTGGATCAAAGGGTGAACAAACACCTAGCGCTAATGCTAAGCTAGCCACCCTTAAACACACCCAGACAAACCAAGTAACCCAAGACGTTCCCTACAGGTCAGAGTAACTCAGTCTGGCTGGAGGCGATTTCTTCCCTCACTGTTGGCTCAGTATGACGGATTGACTGACTTCAACTGAATGCATCATGTGACCAAAATGTTTCCTTTGAGGTGAAAAATGGGACCTGGAACCATCAGCTGACCTGGACAACTCCTGGTTTAAACACCTTTAAACAGCTTGCTAGAATGAATGAATGAATGAATTCATTGAATCAACAATCAGAATGAAATAAACCATAAAGTCCAACAGCCAGGTTTTACTCACAGGTCGGGTCGGCATCGTCAGGCTGCTGTAGACCTTCCTCCTCATCCATCCTCTGGAAACACAGAGAAGCGCTCATGTTCATCTGACTGGCTGCTGCTGCATCACCGACGCCGCGGGCCAGTTTCTGACTGGCCCGCGGCGGTTCATACAGGTGTACTGTTGCACACCTGTATGAACAGGTACAACAGGTGTACCTGTATATCCATGAGCCTTTCGTCCAGGAGCTTCTGTTGACGCTTTGCCTTCCTTTTCAACTTTTTCTTCTTGTTTTTTGACAACTTCCCCATCTGCGCGCGCACACACACACACACACACACACACACACACAGAGGTTAAGGCAGGCAGGAGCAAGTCTAGTTTATCTGAAACTGTCGATAACTTTCTGCCTCAGGAAGAGGGCGTGGTCATGGGGGCGGAGCTAAGCAGGTCATGTGATACCTGGGACTTAAGGTGACATTTCTAAGTATGTAATTTCTCTGACAGCCACTAGGTGATGCTATAACAGCTGCCTGCCTGATGTCACTGTGGCCACGCCCACTTTAACAAAAATAGTTTTTACAAACATCCACCAAAACCCAACTGGAATCGAAATCATGAAACCTTTATGTCCACTAAAATGTATTGATTTATCAACATGAGATAACCAATCAGAACACAGCAGAGGTCACACCTGGGCACTCACCTCTTCATCCCTGGGAGCCGTGCTAACTAGAGACACACAGATGGAAGGAAATCATCAGGGAGGAAAGACAGAAACAGAAAGAAGAAAAGGTTCAGTTAGAAGAAGCAGGTGAAGGAAAGACAGGAAACCACAGGAAGCCAGATCAACCACAACCCACAGGTCCGACTTACTGGTCCCAGTAATTATGCTGACAGGCAGGCTGGGAGAAGTTCTGAACTTTAAAATACATCTGCAGCACCTTCTGACCAATCAGCTGGTGGCCCTCACCTGATGACCCTGAAGGGGGCGGGGCTCCAGCTCTCTGCCAGATGGTGGCCTCAGCCGCCAATCTTCTGACGTAGACGTCGTCAACAACCAGGAGGATGTTCTCCGGCTTGATGTCTGTGTGAATAATTTTACACTTGGTGTGAAGGTAGTCGAGTCCCTGCAGCACCTGCAGACACACAACCGAGTTTGGGTCAGAACCACCGAGTGGCTGCAGGTCAATCAGCCGGAGTACGATGTAGTCAAGGTGCCCTAATCACCATGTCGGAGTTAAGGCCTCCACATACCAGGGCCTACAAGGAGGTCCTGCGTACTTGAGGCGAACACAAAGCTACTAAAGGGAGCTTAGAACTCAACAAACGCTCTAGTATCCATTTGGATTGTGGGAATTCAAGGATTATTCATGAGAAATGTAAGCAGTAGATGCCCTAGAAAATGAAATCTGAGCCGTTTGCAGACGGAGTGTGCAGAGTTTGAATAGTAGAATGTGGCAGCCTTTTGGGTGGATGTTACCAACAGAGTTAACCATGGAAGTATCCTTAGAAAGCATATGGTTCTAAAAATATAACCGATAACCGTATAACCATATTGGCTTTGTCCTAGTTAAGGCAGAACCATGAAGTATTGACCCTTTGAAACAAGTCAATAAAGTAAAACCCAAGAACACTTTGCTAAACGTTCGTGGCGGTGGTACCTGTCGGATGATAGTCTTGACACAGACCAGAGGAATTCCCATATAGTTTGATTTAATGATCCATTTTAATAACTGATGACCTAGAACCTCCAGAACCATACAGACATCTGAGAGAGGCTGAGGAAACTACTGAGACAGGTGGACAACAGGTGGACAACAGGTGGACAACAAGTGGACGCAGTCTGGGACCGAAGGACAGCTCATGGTCAAGGATACGAACTCCATTGATTCCAGAGATCTTGAAGTCATCAATGAGTTGGACGATGGTTTCTCTGTACGAGTCAGATGGGTCGCTGTCCCTCACCTGGAGAGAGACAGGTTAGCTGAGCACGTCAGTAGCCGCTGGTGGTAGAGATCAGGACAGCGATACTCACACATCGCAGCAGTTTGATTTCATCCAAAGCCGTCTCGGTGTAATGAGGAGCGCTCTTCACCACCTTCATGGCCACAAAGCGCTTCTTCCTGAAGAAGACATACCTTGAAAGTCTGAAAGAAGTCCATCTGAGAAAACATGTTTTTCAAACACAAGTCTCTACTGACTGTAGGTCCCAGCAGAGCCACACTGTGGAAAAGTGTCCCCAGCCCAGTTTCCTGACCACATGGTAGCGGCCGTTGAACAGGTCTCCGATCTTTACAGGGTAGTACCCACCTGGAGAATCAGAGACCACAAAGTGAGACTTGTCTCCAGGTACAGGGCAATCCACAAATACCTGATAGTGACAACATCAACAACACTGACTGACTAAGTGTGTTAGCAATGACTAACCTACTGAATGCTCTCAGTCACCTCTCAACCCATTCCTCTAAATGGTTTGGTTAGATGGACAGATACATGGATGGCCCTGGTGGTTCCAAACTTCTTCTATTCCAAATTATGGAGACCACTGTGCTTTTCAAAGCATTCATTGTTGCCAAAATGTTTTTTGTCCTGCATCCATCATCCTTTTCTGGAATTTGTTCCTTGAACTAATCCAATCCTTGTGGTCTGCAGACCTTTACTTTGACTTCGCTTCTTGCCTTCTGCCCTGACGTAGACTATCACCTTTATGGACACATGACTTCCATTTTTAAATTATGCTCAGTGGAGGGCACCCATTTACCTTGGGTGCCCTCCAATCAAAGTGTCTAATGATTGAGACCAGGGATGGGCAACTCAAGTCCTCAAGGGCTAGTGTCCTACAACTTTTACATGTGTCCCTGTCTAACAATCAAAACTTTAACCAAACTAAATGATAACATTTACATGTAGCATGTTGAATCACCTCCTTAGTATGCAGTCAACTTTTCCAGAGTCCTGCTAACGACCTGATCATTTGGCTCTGGTGTGGTCCTCAAGCTCTAGAGTTGCCCACTCCTGGTCTAGAAGATACGGGACTGGCTTGTTTTATCTCAAGCTATCTTAGTAGCATTTTCATACCCAGAGATTTCAACCATCTCTCTCTCCTCCGTACTACCAACGTTTTGGGAATCCATGAAGGTCTCTGCAAAAGCTGCTTGAGGCAGGATTGTAATCTACTCTTGGTACTCTATTGGCAACCTGTCCAAGGTGGAACCTGCCAGGAAGTGATCCCCCACAGGGTAAAGAACAGTTAAAAGAACAAGAACATGTTCTGTTTGTGTTGTTTGAATGGATGAAGTCGGTTAAAAGGGACAGTGTACGTCTGACTGGCTGCTAGCTTTAAAATTCCAACAAGCTGTCAGTGATGTGACATCTATCTACTACAAGTCAGGGAAGTATAACTGATAACTTCTCACAGATTTAAACAAACCCTTCAGAGAGGGACATGGCTCCACTGTCCTTCAACTTGTGAGGCAAAAATGTTTGCAGCATCTTGAAGTTGATGTCATGTAGCCATTTTGTGTATAGGTGAGAAGATGGTCACGTGTCAGAGGTAAACCTGAGGGTTTAGTCAACTCACCTTTACAATAATCTGAAGGGTCTTCCTGCTCTTCATCATCAGACCCAAGCAAGTGGGCTGGGGGAGGAGTTAACTCTACAGGAGGCGGGCTCTGATGTGGCGGGGGCATAGCCAGATGAGATGGGGCAGATGATGTCGTGGCAGGAAAGCTGAATGGAGAATCCAGAGAGCACAGGAGAGAGGAGGAGGAGCACAGAGGCTGGGAGGAGGCACTGGAAGTAAAGGTCATCGAGGTCAGGAGGAAGGGGTCGGAGTGGGTGGGGCTTAGCATACTAGTCGGAGCTTTCACAGGGTTTTGTGCAAATACTGCAGAAGTCTCAGAGGTAACGCCTTGAGGTGAGGTTGGAGGTGGTTGGAAGAACTCAGTAAAACCATGTGCTGAGGCATTCTGGGTAACGTTAACATCTGGTGGTGACTTGCCGAGACTTTGGCCAAAGCTTTCTAATGCAGAAGAAGATGATTGGCTGGGACACTGGGAGTTGTTGAGAGTAACTTCAGGGGCCATTATAGTTTCTACAGGTTCTGGAGTGAATATTGCTCTCTGGTTTATGCTCTGGGGATGCAGTGCCTGGATTATCTGCTGGGCGCTCTGAGGAGGAAGTGGTTGAGTAATCCGGTTTGGACTGTGGGAACTTGCTGACTGTGCTGAATGCTGGGGACTCTGGGGACCAGGTGACTGGGTGGTCTGGTGAGGGCTGGGAACGCGGTAAATGGTGAAGACACTGGGAACGCTTTGACTGGGTGTTGAGGTTCAGGGGTCCAGGTGAATGATGGGGACTCTGGGGAAAAGGTGACTGTGTGTTCTGGTGGGGACTTTCAGGATGTGGTGACTGGACTCTCTGATGGGGACTCTGGGGATGGGGTGATTGGTTTATGTGGTGGGGGCTCTGGGGAACAGGTGACTGGGTGATCTGGTTTGGAATCCGGGACATCAGCGCCTGCTGGGGACCTTGAAGGCAAGGTGTCTGGATGGATCTCTCGGGGGAAAATGTGCCAGGCTCTGGAGCCTCTGGACCTTCCTCATCGGTGCCGTTTGTAGGACCTTTTGGGGGGAGCTGGTCTTTTTGAGTGTCATTCTGTAATGGCATTTGGAGGGGAGTACCATCAGTCTTTAGAAAATCACTGCCCTCTTCAGGCCTGAAAAGGGAATTAAGGGTGGAAAACAATTTCAGAATGCAACATTTGGAAAGGAAAATACAAATTTGATCCAGTTTATTCACAATAAAACAATGATACAATAAAAACGACTTTCAGTTTTAATCCAATTAGTCGTCTTTGTGTTTGGATTTATGTAGAAGATTTCTATACGAATCCAATTCAACCTCAAGGATTGATGCAGCTGCGCCGCGGGATCATATCCCAGTCTCCTACATCTCTCTGCCCGGCCGTCTGACGATATGATACCTGGAGGTTTCAACCACACGTCTCTCCTCTGTTGTATCAATAAACTGGATACACATACAACTCCTTTGCAAGATCTGCTTTAGGCAGGATCGTAATCTGGTCTTTGCTCTACCTTAAAACCCTTTCTTTAGGGTTCTGCCAATAAAGAAAGAGCAGTGGCGATGTTCTCTCTGCTAACTGTAGAAGATCATGCTACTGGAAGCTGCTAACCGCCACACTGAGCGCGCTCAGTCCGGTCCGTCACGGGAATGTCTGGGATGATGTGCAGGGACGCAGTACCGGTCCTGACGGTGTCCATGAGTTCTGACTGATCAGTGTAAACTAAAAACAGATGGTGATGATGTCACGGCGTCTGCAGCTCGTGTGTCGGCCCCAGTGAGCGCGCTCAGGCTATTTCGGTGCTGCTGATGCCACGCTTGGACATGTCACATGGAGCTGCTGCACGCCGGCTCAGGATCCAACTTCTATTTGTGGTTCAATGAGCCTGCGGGTCAGCGGACCTGCGTCTGTCAGTGTGTGGTTCCGGTGAGCTGACCCGGTTCTGTCGGACTGACACCAGGAAAGAAATGATTCAGACCCAGAGCATGGCGGGCTTCGACTGCGGATCCACCTTCAGTCGCTCTGATCTGCAGACTCCTCCCCCTGATAAGCCCCTCCCTCTGCAGCTACATCACTTCCTGCTGAGCCACGCCCCTCAGTGTTGATGTTTGTGTATCTGGGTTCCTACCGGTCAGCTCGGACTCTCCGGTGTTTCTTGCCTCGCCGCCGTTTCTTGCCTGTGGGGGCGGAGCTTCCGACAGCCGCTGAGAAAAACAACAAACAGTCAGAGTCCCATCTCACATCACCAGAACCAGAACCGGAACCGGGTGACGTCAGGTTCTGGATAGAACTTAACGGTCCAATGGCAGACTCAAACATTTCATCAGATAAGATGAAGGGATCAAACCACCGAGTGACTCCGTCATGGCCGTGACGTCACAGTTTATCCAGAAACACGGAGCGCAGCTTGGGTCCAAAACGAAGATACATTCAGGATTAAAGGAACCGGAACCGCTGAGGTTCAGCCTGGTACTCTATCGGGTCCAACAGAACATTCCTTCATCATTTCTTACAGGAAGCTGTTACATTATTTGGACCTCCACATTCTGCTGAGCAGAACCTGGCCTGGTTCTGACCAGCAAGAACCTGGTCTGGTTCTGATCAGCAAGAACCTGGCCTGGTTCTGACCAGCAAGAACCTGGCCTGGTTCTGATCAGCAAGAACCTGGCCTGGTTCTGACCAGCAAGAACCTGGCCTGGTTCTGATCATGAAGGACCTCAGAGAAGCAGCTCGGAACCAGAACATTTTGAAATCCAGAATCTGAGCATCTCTGGACCACCTGATCCGAACCGACAGAAATAAAGTAAAACTGTTTTTAATGGAGTTCCGGAACCAGCTGGACCCGGAACCGTCCCGGACACAGCAGAATCGGGTCAGGCCTCCTTTACCTATCAGCATGTCCGGTTCCGGTCTTCCAGCCGAGCCGGCTCCCAGACAGAACCTGTCCGAGCAGCAGCAGAACCTGGGTCTGAAACGCGGAGCGGGTCCGGACGGGACCGGACCGCGGCCTGGCGGTCAGCAGACGGTTCGGCTCCGTTAGCTCCGTTAGCTCTCCTGCTGGTTCCGGATCTGACTTCGGGTGTCTGGACCGGCTGGATCCCGGTTCTGTTTCGGCTTTGGGACCGGGTCCGCTCCGTTAAACAGACTGTGCAGCACGTGCCGGTTCGGTTCTGCCCTGAACGAACCCAACAGCTGCTCCGTTTGACACCGGACACCCGGCTCTGCGCATGCGCACTGACCTGACAGGCTGAACCGAGCAGGGCCGGATGTGGAGGATGTGGGACCGAGGGTCAGTCTGTCCTGACAGGAAGTGAGATCAGAGAAAACAGGAAGGCTGTCTGGAAATCTCCTCAAAGTTCCCAGTGACGTCACCTTCCTGTTAGTGGAAATATGATCCATAAAGGTTTCATCCCATCCAGAACCAAGAACCTGAAAGGATGATTCTTCATCCAGATATTTCCCAACCCAACCAGCAGATGGAGCCGGTTCTGTCACTTCCATGAAAACGGAGCTGGTGTTTATTGGTTCCGAAGGGACAATCCAAACCAAAGAGAACCTGAAACTAGTTCTGAGATTCAGAGCGCCATTCGTAAAATTACAGTCAAATATTAACAGCAACAATTTGGATTATTTAAACTGTAAAAAGAGAAAAAAATGTGAGATCAACTTATATTTTCATCACGTTATTCATTCATGAATAAATGAATTAATAAACATACTAAATATGTAACTTAAACATATAATTAGCAAGTTAAATATATATTTTAAAACTAAGTGTTTAATTCAAAGGTAAATATTTAGTTTCTAAACTAGATACTTAGATTATTTACCTTACTAATTAAGCTACACATGTAGAAAATATGAAGTGGACTGGGCCCGGGGCCCCCGACAGCGTGAGCAAAGAACCGGCTCTGGTAGCGGAACGAATAAAAGAAAAGAAACAATTATTAAAATTAGAACTTTATTTTTATGATACAAACTGGTTGACCTGTGGCCCTTCACAATAAAAGCACATTTGTCATCTGAGATAGACTCATCTTCATCGTGGTCTTCCTCACAGATATTTACAGGCACATTTACACAGAGCTACCCCCCTCCCTTTCCCCCTCCCCCAAATGACTGTATTCAGTAGAAAACAGCTCCACCAATCAGAGCTCAGCTTCAGTCTGCACACTCATTACGTCACTAGTGGAACGTAAACATCGAAAGATATGAAAAAGAAGAAAGCACCATCATCATTATCATCATCATGCAGAAGCTACTGTGAGTAAAGAACTACAACTACGGGTCAAACACAGGCCCAAAAGACACAAACAGCAAAACATGGAGAACAAAGGTCAGCAGCAGAAGAAAAATTATCAGCTGGACCCGGTTCTGGTCCGGTTCAACACCTGGACCAGCATCAGTCTGTCTGCTTGGTCCAGCCCGTCCATCAGTCCAGGAAGGTTCTGGAGGTTCTGATGGTACTCCAGGATCCATATAGATTCTGATAGTTCTGTTCTCAGCCAGATGGACCAGTTAAACCAGTTAAACCAGCTAGACGCTGCAGTTAGGTTCACTTCCTGCTAAAGGAGCAGTTCATTTTATCTTCCCATCATGCACTGGGACGCGTTAGGTTGCCCCCTAGCTGCAGAGCGAAGGCACAGCGGGGATAAATAATTATAAATAGTCTATACAACACAATAAGTTAGTAACTCAGATTGTTCTCAATGATTAATATGCAGCGTCGTTATTTGAGAAGAACCTGCTGCAGCTAACAGGAAGGGCGACGGGCCGCTGTCAGCCTCAGACCTTATATGGAAACAGGACCATTGCACTCGAGAAGAAGAGCGCTATATTATCCCTGTTTTTTCTTTGTGATATATTTTCAGCTTTAGGAAGGATTTTCACTCTCAGTTTGTGTTTGATCTTCTCTCTTTTATTTACAGTTTTAACAGATTCTGTCACTTCCTGTGTTCTTCTAAATCTGCTCCTCAGTCGCATCTTTTCAGGCCTGATCTGCCTCTAATCATCAGTTTGACCCTCTGAGCTCATGAAGACGTCACTGTTTCCCTCTGGTGCCTAAGAACATTGATTAGAAGTTATTTATTAAAAGTGCAATAATTATTCTTAATTAAATAACATTTATCTATAACATGCAAAGTGTTTTACTTGATGCACAAATTGTTGATATTGTGATTCAATGGATTTGTTTTATTTTATTGTTTTAGAGTGTAAAGAAATTTCCACCATAATTGATTAGTTTCTTTTAGTTTACTCTATATGTCAGACTCTACCAACACATTAAATCTCAGAATAACATGAATGGCACAGAAAAAGCAAAAAAATTGATTTTTTACATGCATTTGTTTTAAAACTCTGATTGTAACAACCAGATTTGTTCATTCTTCTATGAATCTAATTATTTTTTCTGATTGACTTTTGCTCAATTAAGTTTCTTATGCATACATTGTAAATGGTTTTATTATATTTTATTATGTTGCTTTTCATGTCTGCTTATTTCTTTTATTCCTCCTACAAATGATGGAGATATATAAATGTTATTCATAATGTATAAAGATCTTGTTTATGTCATTTAATTAGCTCTACATCATAAAGAAAATAAAAAGTATGGTGTCTTATTAGAGTATTTATATTTTATGGTGCTAATAATGCTAGAAATAACACTAAATAATAAAGACTCATTTAGTAATGTAGTGATATTAGTTGTGTTACCACCCCACGCCACTAGAGGCAGCATCAGGCCTGAAAAGATGCAACTGAGGAGCAAATTTAGAAGAACACAGGAAGCTACAGAATCTGTTAAAACTGTAAATAAAATTCTTCCTAAAGGTGAAAATATATCACAAAGAAAATAAAAACATGGATAATATAGGAAATAGCGCCCCCTTCACTTCCGGAGTGCAATGCTTCCAGCGGTCCATCCCGCCCCTTCCTGTTGCTGCAGCCAGGTGGAGCTGCACTGAGGAGCAGCGCAGTGCGCCAACATCCAGACAGGTTTTTCTTCTCACCGCTGCAGTTCGACCTGAGGTCCGAGTCCAGAACCTCAGCAGAACCGGGTCAGATGAAAACACTCCCTGATTCAGATTATTGCGTTCAGAAACGCCCAGCAGCAGCAGAACTTCTGGTTCTGGCTGTTCAGAGTCCCATCCGCTGGTTTCAGTAGAAAAACATAGAAAACAGCAGGTTTCATGTCAGAACCAATACAAACGCTGAAGAAACTATTGAAGTTGTGCTTTTAGACTCAGACAGCAAAGAACTCTGGGAATTGTAGTGCAAGGCAGCAGGCGGCGATGGTGTTCCCTGATTGGTCGGATTGTCGTGAGATGGCGGCCGCCGCCGTGTGAGGGAACCGGAAGACCGATTATGAAAGACTGGGCGTCCCCCACGCAGACAGACAGGCAGCAGCCATCCAATCAGCTTCGCTGTCTCTCCTCTTCCTCAGAACTCGCAGGTCAGAGGTCAGTGACTTTGTTCTCCACCAGGGCGGCGACCTGCTGCAGCCGATACGCCAGCTGCATCTTCTGACCCGACGTGTCCTCCTCCAGGGACATGATGACCTGGAGACAGGGAAGACAGAGGAACATGTTTGTAGCTGTGCAGGTCAGAGGTCACAAGACGTGAGGGGGCGGAGTTACCTGGTCGTAATATTTGTTGATGTATTTATAGAGTTCATGAAGAGCAACGAGGCTGTTCATCTCTGAGGCGAAGCTCTGCAGGGAGACAGGAGGGGTGAGACAGGAGGACAGACAGGGAGACAGGAGGTTCTGGTTCTGTTTACCCCGGACAGCTCCGTCAGAGTGGAGTTCATCTCCTGGTAGCATCCTGACGCGGCGCTGCGGATGTCACTGTAGTACCTGAAGACAGAGAGAGAGGAGCTGAGCAGAACCAGGCTGGACTGGAACCAGAACCAGAACCAGACTGGACCGCAACCAGAACCAGAACCAGACTGGACCGCAACCAGAACCAGAACCAGCAGCGGCTGTCTCACCGCTCCACCAGCTGCTTGTAGCGTGGGATCTCTCTGGCATAAAGCAGCTTGTTGACCGGAGAGTCCTGATTGGACAGAAAGACAATGTGATGTCACATATGGGGGGACAGAGCAGAAGAACAGCGGCGGGGCGGAGGGTCCTACCCGTCCCACTTTGTGTTCGGAGGTGGTGCAGGAGTCGATGAAGGTCTGGGCAATGACGGAGAGGACGGCGTCGATGCTGTCCGTCACCTGGACGTCCAGGACGAACTGCGGGTTCTTCAGGATGTTGACCCAGAACCTCAGAGGGAGACTGGAGACGGACGGGTCAGAGAGACGGGTCAGAGAGACGGGTCAGAGAGACGGGTCAGAGAGACGGGTCAGAGAGACGGAAGGAGGAGCCCAGCAGGTCTCACCTGTTTGTCTTCCAGATGTGGACGGTCTCGGGGTCGTCGATCCCGTGTTTCTCTGCCATGTCGTCCAGGAAGTCGAAGAAAAACCGGACAGCAATGGGAGGAGGACGCTTGGTGCTGAGGATGGCCACAAAGACATCATCCACAAACTTCTGCAGCGTCCCCTGCAGAGACACGGACACCGTCCATCAGCCACTACCCACTGTCTGTGTGTGTGTGGGTGTGTGTGTGTGGGTGTGTGTGTGTGGGTGTGTGTGTGTGTGTATGTGTGTGTGTGTGTGCGTGTGTGGGTGTGGGTGTGTGTGTGTGTGTAGGTGTGTGTGTGTGTGTGTGTGTGTGTGTGTGTGTGTGTGTGTGTGTATGCGTGTGTGTGTGTGTATGCGTGTGTGTGTGTGTGTGTGCGTGTGTGTGTGTGCGTGTGTGTGTGTGTGTGTGTGCGTTCGTGTGTCTGTGTGTGTATGTGCGTGTGTGTGTGTATGTGCGTGTGTGTGTGTGTGTGTGTGTATGTGTGTGTGTGTGTGTGTGTGTGTGCGTGCGCGTGGGTGTGGGTGTGTGTGTGTGTGTGTGTAGGTGTGTGTGTGTGTGCGTGCGCGTGGGTGTGTGTGTGTGTGTGGGTGTGTGTGTGTGTATGTGCGTGTGTGTGTGTATGTGTGTGTGTGTGTGTGTGTGTGTCTGTGTGTGTGTGCGTGTTTGCTACCTTCATGGACAGCAGTCTGGTCAGGTAAATCTCAGGAATAGCCTTGGCTCTCTCCCGTTCCCTCATGCTGCTCTTCCGATGTTTTGGGATCTCTGCATCTTCGCTGCTCTTCACCAGGTGCCACAGACGCAGACCCTCCTCTTCCTCACCTTCCAGCATTGGTGTTTCTATGGGAACAACAGACACCGTCAGTCATCCTGAGAAGAAGATCTTGTTTGTCGCCATGGACCAATTTGGTCTTCAATGTTTCTGAAGACGTTCCA